AGATTACTGCCGAGCGCAGCGCTGGAATTGTCCAAGTTGATCTTCTACACAACGACCTTGACGACATAGCCAAGCCATGGATTTTTGATTTCATCGTGTACGCAACTGTTCTGTCCAACTGACTTGTGGCTGGCTATCGTTTAACGCTACGTGGTTGAGAGTGTCTCCCTGCACAGTATTTAAAAGGGCCATTTCGATGGGGACAAATCTTTTGGTTGTCTTCAGATGTGCATTTTGATCTTCGGATGTGCATTTTGATCTCCGGATGTTCACCCGGATGCAGACCATCATTCCTAAAGTTTAATGGCTGTCAAAAGTCTCCCCCTCCCCAGTCAAAAGAATCCCAGCGTTCCAAAAAGCAGCACGGGTCCGACGTCTGCTGTATCGACGCCCGCCATGCCACGCCACCAGCCCCGTTACAGCGAAGGGAGTGACGAAGACCTAGCAAGCGTTGCGTCAAGATCTTACAGCGACGGCGAATCCCGCGACATTGCAGTTCATTCAAACTCACGGAAGAAGAAGAAGAGATTAAGAAGGCATCTTACCGCCCGAGATCGAGCGGTAACCAAGCGAAGAAAGCAATTGCCTCATCGATTATCCTCGCGTCGCCACAACTCTTCTAGACACAGAAATGAAGAATCATTGAACGTTCAGGATTCGTCAGTAGAATTCGAGCACGAGAAGGGATCTCATTCTTCATTCGCATCAGACTCTGATGCGAGCAGCCAAGATTCGTCCGATTCGGAAACAGAAGGATGCGACGGAGGTGACATCGCTCCGCAAGACGAATTAGTGGACGTACCGGATCTGGATGTGACGGCGTTCGACAGCTGGGACGCGTTGGAGTCGTATCTGAAGGCATACAGCAGAAAAACATTCCAGGTTTGTGCTGCGTAGACTGTGAAACAGTCTGAGACTGTGAAACAGTTTCTGAAATCGTACTAAATTCTTACTGTGATGTGGTGTTGGAAATCCCACGTGAACTCTAGCTACAGATGTAGTTAGGATGTTCCCACAACAATACGTCTACTAGGATAGTAAACGATCGTTCGGGCGGACCTGAAGACCCCAGTTCTGCCCTTGCACCGGGACAAACTGGACCTTGTAAACTACTTATATAGGCCAACCAGTAAAATAAGAACACGCTACTAGCACGAGCAAAGCTAGCAGGTGTTTTGAATCCTCGTGGTCCCAACAGCGGAAGGGTACCAGGCACGGGTAAGCCTTTTACGAGATCACCGAGTGTTCAACACTCGGCTGGAAGAAATAAAAGGGAGGCAATTCAAGCACTCCCAGTCGTGCAAATAGGCAACAATAAGCCGTCACGTAAAACCTCCCGATAATAATCGGCCAATACACAAAGTCTCTTGGCCTTGCCGGATGAACCCTCGCTACAGAGCTTCGAGTTCACCGACAGGCATAACACACTCAAACAAGCTTGACCTGACGCTTACCTTGAAGCCGGACGTCGCTCTGTGTGCTTGAGTGGAAATTCTGTTCTGTATTTAAGCTTACCCTTTCGGGTCTATTCCTAATAAGAAGTCCTAATCAAGTATACAAATATCAAGTGAACAATGATCCGTTCTGGATCTTCTTGCATGCCAAGCGTCGTCTGCACTGTCGCATGAGCATCTTTAACGGTCCGCGCCCTGTCCCAGACGGTTA